TGTCAGCGCCCCCCCCCCCCCCCCGTAATTCCTTCAGTTCGAGACTATACAGTTGTTAACCCAGTCCGTGTACCTGCTGTAACATTACTGGAACCATCTAAAAAGAACGCCAGCTTGCAATTTTGAACTAGAGTTCTATTTCACACCTGTTGAGCAGTCTTGCTTGTTCTGTGGGGGAGAAATGTATATTCTATACATCATTTTTGAAACATACGCTGTATATTGATCAGCAAATATAGCCAGCTATAATGCTAATATATCCATAAATTATCAGTGCTTTTGAAACTTTAATTGAAACGTGCACTAAAATTCAAGGTCCGCATATGACCTAGTGGCCCACCCTACTCATTACACCTGTGTTAAAAATATATGTAGGCTTTCAGTTTATTAATTTTTCTATTGGCTGAACTCTATGGGTGGTCTTTTTTTTTTTTAATGTAACTATCCTGGGGGTGAGGCTCTCAAATCCAGCACACAGTGCAGGATTATCTTCTCATACGTTTTGCAATCCTCAACATACCCAGGATCCTGCCTAAATGATCATGGTTTCACCATTGCTTAGGCACCATAGCGATAGCCAAGTATTAGGCAAGTATAGTAGCCTTTCTCCACAAGTGGTGTTTTTATGGAGGGCTTTGGCATTGTGTAATAAGTAGACCTTGCATTGTAGTAAAACGTCTGCTTAAAGATGGTTATTTCTTGAGCTGAGTACATTTTTTTCTCTCCTTTTTTTTTTTCTAGTTGAAGCATTAACATTTCCACCATCATCTGGAAAATCTTTTATTATGGGACCTGATGAAGCATTAGAAAATGAAATGGGTTTAGGAGAATTGGCAGGACTTACAGTAGCCAATGAGGCAGACTCCTTGACATATGATGTAAGTTCTATAGTATATGTACTCTATAAGCTTCTAAGTCATGCAGATATTTTTTTTTCTTTCATTTAAGCTGCCTATACACTGTAACATTTTCTTCAACCTGCAGGCTGCATGTGTGTTGTGTTGTGGTGTACTGCATTGTCAGTGTATTGCCCACTACTGTAATAATGCACCAGAGTGCAGTTCAGAATGAATGGCACCACACTGTGGTTCATGTGGCAATGTGTGTTACTGCATTGCTTAGATGTAAATTGGGCTTTAAAGTTTACATGTTACTTTTTTTTGCAGATTCCAAACAATAAAGATGCCCTTAGAAAAACCTGGAATCCTAAATTTACTCTTAGAAGTCATTTCGATGGAATTCGGGGCCTTGCATTCCATCCAACGGAGCCAGTCTTGATAACTGCATCAGAAGACCATACATTAAAAATGTGGAATCTACAAAAGACTGCTCCAGCAAAAAAGTGTGTTCATTTGCTTTTTAGTTATCCTTAAACCTGCAGCTGCCTATTAAGTGAAACCACTTTTGTGAACTATGGTTGCTTAGCAATGTTTATTACTGTGTTGTGGCCTAATTAATGTAAAGCTGGTTGTGTGCATTATGTGATGTGCTCAATGTATTCTACAGATAGAAGATAAACTATTAGTTTATTTGGGTAACCAAAGATGATTTCATGGGTATATTGTAATTGACACTCAACTCCTATAGGATTCTATTAATAATGCTTAGGTTTTTGGTTAAGTTAGACTAATGTTTTTTTCAGTCATATACAAAATATTTATATATCTCCTTTTATTATAAGCATTTATTTTAGTATTTAGTATGGTTTTTTTTTTTACTTCAGTGATCATTTGTTTCCCATGAGCTTTAACCTTCTTTGAATCTTTTTGTTTTACATTAATATCGAAGCAAGAGCAGATGAATTTGTATGACCTGGTACTGTATATTGTCACTGTAGTAGATTAGACAGAATCAATATAATTGACCAAAGCAGCCCTAATGGATGTTAATATAGATTACGAGAAAAGTCATGTTAAATGCTCTCAGCCTTGATCAAGTTGATCTTAAGCGAAACCCCTTTCTTATTTTTGTGAACTAATCCGCTCTTTGCATGACTTAAAATTCTATTTTATATGTAAAAAGGAATATGTTTTGAGCACTCTGCACTCGTCAAACGTTTGTGCAACATTTATATTTTAATTAAGGCTGCGAAAGTATTCGACCCTATACAGTAGAACAGTGGTTCTCAACCTGTGTAACCTCAGGACCCACATTTTCCCTTGGTCATTAAGTCGCGACCCAAGTCGCACTGCAATGGAATGAACGGAATTAGGGTACCGTAGTGCGGGCGTACGAGCATTGCTTGTGCAGCTTCCTTGTGTCCCCTGTAGAGGTGCCGGGAGCCAGAATGTGATTTCACTCCAGGCCAGGCACCTCTATAGGACACATGAAGGAGCTGTTAGCAATGCACGTATGGCTGGAGCTCCCTCGCGGCCATAGTTCCAGCCCACCCCACCTCAAGCTGACACTCTGCACCGGGCAGCATATTTTGAATGGCTGCTTGACGCAAGAACTGACAGCCCTGCGCTAGGGGGAGGCAGAGGAGCCTCTCACCTAGAAAAGTTGAAGGCACGTGATGACCCACTGACCCACCAGTTGAGAACCAAGGCAGTAGAAGACGTGACCTGGTAACGAGAGTATAGCTGCCACACTGTACATAACTTACGCCTAGGTGTGAACCCAGCCTATCGAAAATATGCGTGTTTTTACTGCGTTTCACGGTTAAAAAATGCACGACAAACGTGCGTTTCCGAGGGCTACCTGGCTGTATCCCAATGGATACGCGCGGCAAATACGCCCCAAAGAAGCTCCTGTACTTCTTTGGGCGTAGGGCAGCGCGTTCCTACGCATTGTAAAACGCCCAGGTGGGAACCATGCCCATAGGCGATCATTGGTTTTTTACATGTTGAGCGTTTTACAGAGCGTAGGAACGCGCTGTAAAACACCCAGGTGTGAACCAGGCCTTATAGGACCCAGTAGAATTTTCTTCAGAGTTTACAACACACAGGGACAGTGCCGCAAAAAGCCTATGCTATCCTATGCTACCCTATGCTACTAGCAAAGGCCGAAATGTGTGAATCAGAAATTTTAAGTTCAGCTCTGACCACTGTAAGCCCCTAACACATCACTGTCCTGTTCTTGTGTGTTTTTTAATTCTGTGGAAGGTCACTATTGCCCACACATTAGAGACCCTGTCACCACCCAATCCCAATTAGGATGTCATGTGAATGTACTTACAGTGAGAAAATTGTGGCCGCCTTTCTTGTGCTAACAGTATGTTGCAAACAGATCTGATCTAGTCTTCCTTCGACACTCCAGGTGTTAACCCTTTCGCTGCCAAGGACGTATGGCATACGGACCTACAAAAGTGCTTCCAGCTGGCCAGGTCAGTATGCCATACGGACCTGGCATTTACAGTTCTACTATAAGCTGATGGTCGCTTTAGCGACCATCAGCTTATAGTATAACTGTTCAGCAGACTGTCCCCTTTAAATTAATAGCTGTCATCAGCGGCTCAGAAGCCGCTGATGACCGCTATTATCAAAAATACCGGGTGAATAACCAACACGAAGTGAAGTGAAGTTCCAGCCTGATCTTGCAGCGACACCTGTTTGGCAGTTGTCAGGGAAGTCTTGTATAATTTGCTTAGGCAGTTTATGCATGCTGTCTGCACCCCTAGTGATTAACATGCTGCCTGCTGGGTCTGCCACCAGTTGGGCATTAATAGGTACTTTGTAGAGCAGCTGAGAGGTTCAGTGTGCTGGAATGCTCTCTTCTATAAATAATACTGCCAGTAACCAAGTATGTGTGGGGTGGTGATGGGAGGGCTTTGTCAAGGGATTAAGTAGAACTGCCACTGATCACTATGGCAAGGGTGGAAGTTAGCACTGCCACTGGCTACCAGTTTGGGGAGTGAGGTTAACCGAACTGCCACTGACACCAATGCTGAGGGTTATTATTGCTTCCACTGTCACCAATGCAAATTTTGCGACCACCGACACCAATGTTGATGTGGTAATTGCAGCCACTGACACCAACAATGGGGTTTATTATTACATCTTGTGCCTATCGTCAGCAATGCTATGTGTTATTCTTGCTGTCATGAACATGATGGGGCTTCTTTTACTCCCACTTTATCTTCAGTGTGCATTTCAGTGTTTTAAAAAAAAAAAAAAAACAAGCAGAACCCACATTTTTAGGTTTTGAGATTTTGCAGACCAACGCTGTTACCTACAGACTGGGCTCATCATTTCAGCCAAGCTTCTTTAAGTCCTAAGTACGTTATCAATGTACTGTATTTCTAATCCATTGGAGAGCATACTAGATAACGTCATAGTGCCAGAGAACCTTTTCTGCATTGGCCCTCTACCTGTGAAGCCATCCAAACATATCACCCTTGGACAACCTTTCCTTTTTTTACCATTTATAGTGCAGCAGACTGGCAGTGACTTTAGCTGTTAAGCTGCAGACATTCTCAACTACACATGGTACAGAGTGAAGCAAATGATAGTGGCAGGGTAAGATGCTGCCCACTGTTATGAGATTCCATCTTAACATATTGGGTGGGGAGTAATTCTAAATACTGGTCACTTGCTAGAGTCAGTACAGACCGTAACAGATTCTCATGTAGTTTTTCTGATCGTTTTTTGTCAATTAATTATGAGTTGCATATGGTGTAAATGTAGCCTTTAATTTAGTTTTGGAATTTATATTTTTTATTGTTTTTTTTAGAAGCGCAGCTCTTGACGTTGAACCAATTTACACATTCAGAGCACACAGGTAAAATGAAATGTTCTTTTTATTCTATGTCAATTTGAATTACTGGAGTGGTTTTCTTGTAAGAGTTGAATGGAGGTTAACATTATTCTTCATTCTCACTATACTAAATATTTATAATCCCTCTTACCTTTTGTGCGGCATTGTTCCCAAATAACATACTCACCTGTCCAGTGAATCTAATGTTGTCTCTCTGAAATTCCCGCACCATGAACAAACAGGACCGTTAGTTATCAGAACTATTAAAGCTAACTTGCCGTGTACAAATGATGCCTAGCAACGTTATGTAGTGCATTCAAGAGCTGATGTGCCTGTGAGACTGCGACAGGCAGGATGCCTGTGGTGACGTGGCTGTATCCATCTCTTCTGTCATTCTGCATTAAAAACGTAGTTATTCAACTGTAGGCTAGGCATTCCCAGATTAATTTACGTATGCACATAAATTTTTCATGCATGCCTGTGCTTTTTGTGTTGCATCGTGAACACAAAATAAGTTTACCATAATTCTGCACACTTAGAATCTGCCTGTTGGCAGTAACATACTTCTTGTCATTTTGCTGTCTGAACATGTTTTGCCTCCGCTCTAAAAATGAAGAACACAGTAGAGCAAGTGTTGTTTAGCAAACATAAGGCCAGCTTTACTCAGTTATCATTAAATTGAAAAATGGGGCCGCATAGTTGCTTGGTGGTTAGCACTGAAGACTCCAGGTTTTAGTTCACTGAAAACTATGGATTATTCTCCCTCTGTTTGATACATTCCAGTAGGTACACTGGCTTCTTCCCTGGTTTTTTGGCTTCCATTTAAATCAAGCAAATGGTTGATTGGCATTAGAGGCAAAATCCAGTTGTAAGCTACTTTGCATGAACAGATGCCAATAGCTTTGTGTAAAGCTTTGCAGGATATGTTGGGACTGATTAAATAAGTATAATAAAGTGATGGTATGCAAACTGCAAACGTTTTAAGTGGAACTGAACTCAGTGAGTTTCTATGTTGTAGGGAATATCTAGTAGTGTCAGTTGTGCCTTAGCAGTACCCTTTGCCACTTGTTTTGAATTCCTCTGGAAAAATAGCCGTGCACTTCCTGATATGTAAGTGTGTCTAGGTGTTCGTCTAAGGCACTGCTGCCTCTGACTGCACGTCTTAGAACAGTAGTGATCTCACTCCAAATCTCCTAACTGTTCTCCTTGCTGGAAGCTCTAACACGAGGAACCAAAGTCCTGCCTCTATCTAGCAAGATGGCTGCCTCCATATAGAGACTCTGCATGGAGTGAAGCAGAAGTCAGTAATTGGGGAAATAGCTGCGGTTCACAGTCAATACTAGTTACTAGTTCTTTGTCGTTATCTGCCTTTTTTTGGCCACAGCTTTCAGAGTTCAGTTTCTTCTTAATACAGGCATAGCTCTAAAATCGGGGTGTTCAAAGTGCAAATGGCTCGAGCTCCAAATATGTTGCTCTAGCATACCTGCATACACCAGAGCAATGTGCCTTGCCTGTCCAACCATGCTTGACTTTAGACATGTAAAAGTTGATATTTGCATTGTGAACTACCCTGGTTCTAGGGCTCACAGAACAAACAGGAAGATGATTAAATGGATTTGTATATAAACGTTTTTACTAGGGCTGCAACAACTAATCGACATAATCGATTATAATCGAATATATCTGTTTACAGTATTGCGTTTTAACACATGGACACTGTTAATGCAATTTACATTTTACAAAGATGTCTGCTCAGTTTTAAGTAAAAAGGCAAGTTGAAATGTTTTGGTCAGTTTATTGATAGGATTTTCATGTTTGGTTTAAAAAAATATAAAAAAAAATATAGATAGATAGATATATATATATAGATAGATATATATATATAGCGCCTGTAAGCAAGTTTTACATCAGGCTGTAATAAGAGAGGTAGAAGGCATTAAGAGCCACCTCCTGGCTGGATACTAGACTACATAATATTTAGGCCAAATTTCCTAATATTAGAAGAAATATATCATTTTTGTGGTCTTGGCCATAGTAAAAAATATAGAAAACCACTATGCATTCCCTATAAAATGTTATCCTTTCAGCCTTGGTTTATGATGTAAAATATGTAAAGCCTTCCACACACATGCAGTATGTATGAGCACAAGTGTGCAGTTATCTTATCAAATACAAACGATCCTCGGCCACTGGAGTTCAGGGTCATTGTTAATAGTGGAAGGAAATGTATTTGTCATTATGTGTATTCTCATGAAGCTTGTAAATACATATCTGCTTTCCAGGCAAATGTGTGGCTTTGCCAGGGGCTTTATGTTCATTTCAGTGTGATCATGTTTTGGTTCAAACCAAAATATTAAAGTAGAACTATGGCGTCCTATTAACAAAATATCTGCTGCAGCACTCATTGTACGTGTATTTGCTCTTATAGTATTATCTTGGTCCCCCTCAACTACCTGTTGAGCGTGCAAGTGAAGTAAAGCTAATGCAGCTTCCTACAATGGGGTGGCTGTAATGCTGCACTGCTGCTTTCATATAGGCTGTGTCTGCTGGCACTACAATGGGATGGAAAAATGTTGCCGGGGCCAACACCGTTGCCACTGCTGATTCACAAGCCTGTAGTTTGTCAATCAGGAATCGGCTACAACTAGACCTGCGTAGTGCTTTCTCACTTGGTAGCATTTCCTCTGCTGAAACCTGTCCACTTTAAGCTGCAGTGTCTGGGAGGAGGAGCATGTACTTTTGAGGCTTTTGCTTTACATAGTACCTGGATTTAGTACTTGTTAAGATGGTCATTCAGAAGCCTTTAGTTATACAATAAATATGTGACCAGTGATATGGTGGGAATAAACCCTACACTCACTGTTTTTCAGAGGTCCAGTTCTGTGTGTGGTTACGAGCAGTAACGGGGAGCAGTGTTACAGTGGAGGAACAGATGGCATTATCCAGAGCTGGAATACACCAAATCCGAATGTCGATCCATATGATTCTTATGGTAAGTTAGTTGTAACAGTAGTGTTAGTATTTTGTCGTCATTTTATTCTAGATTTCATTAATGGTACACAATAGTGTTCATTTACAAAACAAAATAGAGGCTGTTCACTTTACAAAGTCACTGTTGGTAAGTAGGGCTCACCTTTGTTTTCTCTCCAAACCCACTCTTGTGTGATTATAAATTTAGAAGATCTTTTCTCTCTCAGGTATGTTTTGGTTGGTTAAAGTTAGCACATCTTTACCTTTTATTTATAAAACTTTGTGGATGAACAGACTACACCTCAAATGGCTATTTTACCTTTTTCACTGCAATCAAATTTTATATATCTTTTTAAAATAATTATCCAGCCTTACCACAAGAAGCTGAAGTGTCGTCCTTTTCCCTATTTTCCGTTGCAGTAGAAAAGAGGGCAGCAGTGCCTGCTCATCATTCTGCAGGCATTAGTCAGACTACATTTCCCTAGTGCATTAGTGTTTTCAGCACCTGTGGTGACATGTTGGGGAGAGTAGTTGACGTGACTTGACACCGTCCCGCTTCACTTTACTCGAGTTCAAAATAGGTCAGCAAGTACTGTCATAGGTCCAATTTCTTTTAAAAATCTTTATGTATTTTATGTACTGTCCAAAGCTCTTAAGCATGTGACAGGAGCTGTAAGGGATGAAAAAAGGCCGGTTTTGCTGGATGGGAGGAAGTGCTGATAAGTAAATTAGAGAAACAAATTGTGGGAAGCATGGGCAAATGACTTTTAAGGGCAGATGTGGCTTCAGAGCTCCACCTACCAGTGTTTATCCAAAGGTATACTCTATGGTTATGGGTTGGTTTGTGTGCTCATTGAGCTAATCCCTAACCACTGGGTATGAATGCATCTAATTTGTCTAGAAGGTCACTGTGTTTGATCTCAGGCTTAATGTGATGCATGCAGGAATTCGCAACTGGGCAAAATGTATTGACATCAGTGGGTCTTGTCTCACCAGGGCATTCATCTTCATTTTTCCACAGCTCTGAGAATTGCTCACACTAACATGCAGTGCATGTCCAGCCTAACCATTTTTTGCTTAGGGTTGGGTGGGAACGATTTAGAACCCCTAGTCTGGGTTATACTACCATGCAGGCCTCATTTAGAGACTTCACCTCTTTTACTATCATGACAATCTCAATTTCAGCAGGCAGGGAATCTCTGAAACAAGAACACAGAGTGCAAATAAAAACTCACAGGATTAGCCTTTCTATACTCTACTCATATTTTTTTTATTTAGTACTACTCTACTACTTTTATTTAGTGAGAAAACGTTAGCCTTTATTCTAGGCATTTTTCTTTCTTTCTTTTTTTTTTGTCAGTCAAGACTTGTGCTGTACTTTGCAGCTATCTGGAGGATCAGCTAATTCTCAATGCTTGCCTTGGAGGCTGTACCCAGACTCCTCCGGACTAAAGATTTTGGGGCCTGTCCTTGAATATGACCCTCAGTCACTGGGCTCTGCTTGTGTTGCTCTCCAGATGTTATATACTGTGTTAGCTGCAGAGCACATAATCGGTCCAAAGCAGTGGCACGGCCTCTGCTTGTGACCCAGTCTCTTCAGACTCTCTTCAGAAATGCCCATGGATAGAGTGAAGGTGACTTGGGATGTGACTTTCAGGCTAGGGGCCCTCCCTTGTGTAGTGTGTTGAGTTATCTGGACTCTAGTCTGATATACATAACCATGGCAGGCTATCATTTGTCCCCCTGTTATTTTTCCTGCTCCAATTGTTTCCACAAAAAAGGGTAACTTGCTGGAAATATTAGTGCTGTGTAGAGATGGAATTTCTGGAAATTTTGAAGCCATGAAAAAACTGACATTTTCGAAAAAAGTTAAAAAAAAAATTCAGTGTGGAGTATTTTTACAAATTGAAAGTCTTTTGTTACACTAGAACGTGAAGTGCAGTGTATATAAAAGCATTATGCTTGACATAAAAGTACTGCTTGTTCAGTTAATAAACTAAACTTGCTTTTTAAAATTCTATTTTATATTTGCAAATTGCAGCTTTGCTCTTAGTTGAAGTTGCACTGTGGAAATGTTTCTAAACTCTAGATGTTGGTCTCACCATTTTACTGAGAGGAGGATTTAAAACAATTTACTGAGCAGATTATAGGTAAACATTATACTGTGATGGTGTAGAACCTTGGTTCTCAACTGGTGGATCGCGACCCAAAAGTGGATTGCGACCCTGTGTTCAGTGGGTCCCCGTGTGCCTTCCACTTTTCTAGGTGAGAGGCTCCTCAGCCTCCCCCTAGCGCAGCACTGTCAGTTCTCGCGATAAGCAGCCGTTCAAAATATGCTGCCCGGCGCCGAGTGTCAGCTTGAGGTAGGCTGGGCTCCATCCATATGTGAATTGTTTACAGCTCCCTCGCTTGTTCTGTAGTGGTGCCTGGACCTGTGTGATGTAACATACTGGCTCTGGGCACCTCTGCAGGATGTGCAAGGGAGCTGTACAAGCACTGCACACATGGATGGAGCTCTTGCACAGTACAGCAGCCCACACCGGACCCCAGGCTAAGGATCCCCTTCTCATAAGGTAAGGAGACTGGGTAGATCTTAAAAAAAAAAATTTTGTTTGCAGTGGGTGAGATTGTGTCTGTGGTTGTGTGTTTTTGAGGGCCCGTTCACATTAGTACAGTGCGTTAATTGCACAGTCCTGTACAAAATCGCACTGTGCTTTGCAATAGCACCAACCATGCGTTTTGGTGTGAAAAGTCATTGCCATTCATGTGAATGACACCCCAAATGCACCTCCCACCCACAGTTCTATTGCCCGCTTCGGAACATGCAGTACCACAATGCTGTGCGTTCCATTGTAGTGCAACTTGGGTCATGACTTATTGACCAAGGACAAATGTGGGTCCTGAGGTTACACAGGTTGAGAACCACTGGTGTAGAACATTATAAAGAGAAACTAATTTGTCAGACAAATGTAGCCTCCTACCTGTCAATTAAGGCCTGAGAGGACAGAAAATATCATCTACTATCATACCAACAATCACCCAACTATAGGAAGTACAAGATGGCGCCCACAAGCTAACTAAACTGGAGTGTTTCCTCTGCAGTGCCCCTAGTGGCAGAAATGCATATTTCTTTTTGAGTTTGAGAACTGCATTGAGAAGTACATTGTTACTTGAATTGTATTCCAGGATTTGCTTGTCTTCAGCTGAGAGAATGTGCAATAATTTAAGACTTTACATAAAGTCTCAAATCTTTCATTAAGGTCTTCATGTTATATAGTCTTAATACCATGTCAAAGATATAAGATAAAAGAACATATTCCACACTTTTTTTTTAATTTACATTTTTTTTGAAAAAAACAAACTGCTTTGTAAAAAAACGGAAAACAAACTATTTTTCCATTTCTTTTTCCCCCCCTGCCCTTCCCATCTCTAGTGCTGCGTCGCTATCTGCAGTGTAGTTGTGCCTGCCATTGCTCTATTTAGAAGAGGCTTGCAGTTATTACCTGAGTGTCTTTGCGTAGAATGTGTGCGTTACTCCGACCATTCTAAACCTCTCCAGCTCTCCGCAGATGATTTATGTGTATGCAAAGTTTTTACTTGGCGTCTTAAATTAAGGTGCCTTAGTCCAGCAGTGCAATGCCTTGCATCCCAAATGCAAGGGGAACCATCCTGCAGTCCTCTCCAGTTCATGATCCACTAGAAGGCCTGTAGCGTCCCTACTTTGGGACCTGACATTCATAGCCTGAGACCACACACTCCTCAGAGTCTTCTATAGTCTTTCAAGTGTGGCTCCCTCCTCTGCCTTATCCAGGGAGGAGTTCTCTTTAGCCATGTTGGATTTCATTACCAAAATCACTATCATGATAGCTGACTCAGAATGAAGGGGGCCGTTTATGCTTCTATGCCTTACCCTCCAGAATCCTTGTCTGACGTTTCCAGCAGCTGTAGCAACTTTTTGTTGTGTGAGCTTGTTGAGTTTTTTTTTTTTTGTTTGCCATTTCCCATCCCTCAGTGTGACTGCTTTTGGAGGTCCTAGTTGTCTCTGAATTACTTCTAGCCCTGTGTCCCTTAATGAACGATAAAAAAACAGGATTTTTGTACTTACCGTAAAATGTTTCTGGAATTTAATTAAGGTGCACAGGTCCTACCCGTTGTGTTTGTGATCTACTCCTAATATTGCTTTTTTTTTTTTACAAAACTGAAGCATGATAGGAGTGGGAGGGGTTACACCTGACCTGGTAATAGTGTTTTTGTTTGCCAGTGTCCGATTCTTATTGTAGGTGGCAGTATAACCCAGCTGTCTCTGAATTACTTGTGATCTTGTGTTCCTTAATGAACTTAAAGAAACTAACTATGTTAAGTACGTGGTTTTTATTTGCCAGTTTTGCTGCGTGAGAGTTGCTATGGTTTCCTGTCAGGTGAAACCGTTGTCACATGACATGAAATCTGTCTAGCAGTTGAATCCTGACGGGGGTTTCTAATCCTTACGGACTCTAGCCAACAATTTTTAAAAAATGTCACATTGTAAGCTGCTTGAGATACTTTGTGTATTTTTATTGGCATCTTGTGTAAATAAGCCCTTTAATCATTCTGTCCTAAATGACATTACTGTGTATTTTGCTTATTTCTCTGAATTATGGTTTCTTCTGACCTAGTGATAAATGGCTGAGACAATCTACATGCTTTTGTAGTCGCACAGTATCACAAATCATATTTGTTCAGTAGAATTCCACAATGCAAATGCTTTGAGCACTTTTTATAGTTTGTTTATAGTTATAGTTTATAGCCTTAAAATGTAATGTGACTTGAATCTGTTTCCCCCTCCCCAAACAGATCCTTCTGTACTACGAGGGGCATATGAAGGCCACACCGATGCTGTGTGGGGCTTGGTGTACAGCACAGCTCACCAGCGCTTGTTGTCTGCCTCAGGAGATGGCACAATAAGAGTTTGGAATGCTTTGGAAGCCTCTCCTGCATTAACCATATTTAATGACAGCCAAGGTAACATACTAGCAGTTGGATGCTGTTTTTATGCTTTTATAGTGCTTATTTTTATGTACATAAGCAAGCTCTTTCAGATGAGTTAAAAGTGTGAAATATGGTAGCTGTCTGATGAGGTGACCTCTATATTAATACATACAGAGATTTAAACCAAAGTGGATTTGCAGTATATGTAGAAATTACCTTATCTTATTATTTATGTAGTTTTTTTTGTTTGTTTTGGTGTTAATTACTACTAAACAATATAAATGCCACCAATATTTTTTATTCCAGTTACAAAGAAAAAGCCTGGAATTTCAGCTCACTTGCTTATTTTAGACCATTTAATATTATTTCTTCGCCTTTAATTTTCTACACAAAAATGTGTACATAATCCATTAGTCCAGAAAGTGCCTTGTACAGCTTTATGATTTTTTTGTTTTGATATCTTGTGTTTGCACTAAAGTAATCCTTAAAAAAAAAAGAGACCGCAAGGCACAGTATATAGTGTAACGGATCAGTGGTAATTTAGTTATATTACTGTGCTCATGCTTGTAAGGATTCTATATGTACAGGCAACTTCTGTCATAGTATATGTAGAATTTTCCACACAGATATAGCACTTTTTTAGTGTGAGGATTATGGTTTTAAAGATTCCCAAACAGGTGAAGAGGGTAGAAGTAAGCTGCACTTTGGTTTCCCATTGATGGTTTAGTTGTATCTGGGAAACTGCATATTTAGGGCATAATGTAATTCTGTTCTTTATTCTTTTTCTTGATACTGGGGCAGCCCTCACAGGTTAAGTAATGGACAAGTTGAAATGTCATTGAGCTCCTTAGATCTCCTTTTTTTTTTATTTATTTTTTACAAATGACTCTAAATGCTCTGTAATGAATAACCATTACATAATAAAGCTGTGTTTGCACAATAGGAGAAGCCAACAGTTAAACATGGGCTTAATAATTATAACTGTGTGAAGATTTGTTAAATAATTTTTTTGTGTGTTAGTGTTTTTATATGCAGTGCTGAATGACCTACATTGTGTAGGTTAGAATATCCTTCTCTATCATGAATGGGATAGATCGCTTGAGCATAGATCTTTTATACTCTGAAACCAAATGTTTTCAGTTGCTGCTGAGCTCTGTTCTGCTGACTAACTTCAGTCAGCAGTTTTCAGAATATAGGAGATGGGGAAGGAGAATCATAGAGAGCCTATAAAAAGAAAATAATTTCCATGTCGCCAGTATTTAAGTTGAAGGTCTGCCCCAGCTATGTACCTACAGCAGCAAGATGGCTGATAATTGGCATACCCGGGGCAGGAATGTCACTGGGTGGTGCTGCAAGAAGTATGCGGTAGAACTAGCAGTATCTTTGGGACTCAGTCAATTGTGACCTCTATAAGTGAGTGTTGGCTTTAACGCTGAGAGATAACATCCCTCTTGTGAGGTTCCCTCTAACCTGCGAGCAACAACTAAATTGATGTTGTATAATGGAAAAATGTTCATTAATATTAATTTCATAATGTTATGCTTTGTTTGTAGTTTGTAATGCTTTTTTTTTTTGCTTTTGAAGAATTCGGTATTCCCGCGTCTTTGGACCTAGTAAGTAGCGATCCAGCCCATATGGTTGCATCATTTAGCAATGGTCACACAAGCATCTTTAACTTGGAAACACACCAGAAAGTTCTAACATTAGAGTCTTGCATAGATACAGGTATGTCTCCAATACCCAATATCATCTTGATTATTACAGATATGTTCTAATGTATCTAAGAGTTTCAAAGAAATTAAATCCTGCTATCTTTGGCATGAAAAAGATGTACACTGGCATATTACACTGAAAGACTGTTTTTTATTAAGTTTTTAGTGCGCTTTTATTCACGTTTGCATCTTCATTGCTTAGATATTATGAAAGTTGTTTGTGTGTTTAAAACATACTTGCTAAATTTGGACTTTTCTCAATGGTGGGAAAAGTATTCATGTGCCTGTATGGGCATAATGAAACAAGATGGATAATATTACTGTTTACAAAGTTTAATTCTTGTTCATTAAAGGGCACAATCTTAAGACAATTTGGTTATAAAACTTTGACTCCAGGAAGTTTGGACATTGGCAAACAAATAAATGTTAAGCCACTAGCAACCCTGCATCCAACTGTCATGCCTGAGTTTTCTGGTGGTGTCCTATTTTTTTTTTCCTCTTCTTTTTTCCCCTCTTCTATCAACTTTCTTGGTACAATGGTACATTCAAGACATTTAATATACGCAGAAACAATTCCAGTGCAATTATCATCTACATAAAATTGCACTGCGCTCTATACCCCTATGCTCTATTTCATCTAATCAAAATGTACTGCATTGTCAACTTGTCATTAATCCTCTATGTCCTCTCCTTCTATTATTACATAAGCAAATACATCCAGTGTTTTATACAAATAGTTCTCAGTAGTGCTAAAGATCTTTTTACTTAAAAGAACCACAGTCCACATCAAATAGTGATCCACTATTATAAAAAGTATTTGCAAATCATAAACCTCAAAACCAGAATAGATAACAAAATAAGTCCACAACCGAATAGTGATGCACCTTCTTGTTTAAAGACAGGAAACAATCCACAACCTAATAGTAGAACTCTTATTATAGAATAATAAAATATTAATCACATTAATTATATATTAAGTCGTCACTACAATACATTTTGATTGAATAAAATAGAGCATAGGTGGTATAGAGTGCAGTGCAAATTTGTGTAAATAATGCCCGTATGACCTCCTACTGAGGAAACAGTTGGGACAGACCACCGGTCAGTGTCCATCAAGCTGCTCAAACTCTGCAGAGGTTCAGATGGTTCTTGTGCTGGAATGGACTCCATCATTCGGAGTACCTAGGCCTTGTCTGTCCAGGGTCTTCCTTCCGCAGGAAAAGCTCTAAACTATCTGCTTCCATGTTTGCAGACCACAATCCAGGAGCCCCTCTGGTTTTGCATGAGGGCCTTAGGCTTAATAGCGGCCTCTTTTGAAGCAGTTCCACATACCCAGTTTCCTGCTAAATTAACACAACATTCTGGGAGGCATGGGATATGAAGGCTAGGTCTCTTTAAAATTGCATGTGTCTAACCCCTAAAATAAGGCTTGTCTGGCCCTGGGTTCATGTCAATCCTTCTTCTCACTGGTCTGGAATGTTCTCACCACAGATGTCAGCCTGTCAAATTGGGGGAAGTTGTCCTCGATAATCTCATGCAAGGGACTTGGTCGCCGGTGGAAGATCATCTCCCAGTATTCAGTCAGTATTCTGGAACTCAGAATCATTCGGTTGCCCCTTTAACGTTGGACCTCTAGGCTGCAAGGATACTATGGCACAGGTTGTCTTCCACTTTATGCTGAAGGTCATCATTATTTCAGATGGTAGTCTTTTCCTAGGGGTGCTACTGGTCTTGGGTGCTGGTTTAATGGTTTCTTTGTGTACTTGCTCAAACCTGAAGGTGGCAGTATAAGTAAATTGCCTTAAGAATAACTGAACAACTTGTCCCTTAATGAACTCCAACACCAGAACTGATTTATATAGTATGTACATAGTTGCATAGTATTTGAGGTTGAATAAAGACATATGTCCATGAAGTCCAACCTATTGTGTGTGTGTGTGTGTGTGTGTACGGGTCCCTGTGTCATCTCGTTATTAGGAGTACCTGTACCCCTGTATATTACCGTTTCTCAGGAAATCGTCCAAAAGCTTCTTGAACGATTCCACACTATTAGCTGAAATCACTGCTTGTGGCAGTGAGTTCCAGACCCTAACCGCGCGAACTGAGAAGAACCCCCTTCGCCCCTTGTGTTTGAATTTTTTTTCTACCAGTTTCAGGTGGTGTCCTCTAGTCTTTGTTACGGAATTAATCTTGAAGAGTTTGTTGCTAATGTCGCTATGACTATGGAACATTTTGTACATGAAAATCATGTCCCCCCTTAATCTCCTTACTTCCAGCGTGAACATATTTAAATTTAGTAGCCGTGTCTCATAGCTCTTGTCCTCCATCCCTTTGAGTTTGGTTGCCCTCCGCTGGACTCCCTCCAGCTCAAGGACATCCTTTCTGTGTACCGGTGCCCAAAACTGCACCGCCTACTCCAGGTGAGACCCAGTGATGTGTAAAGTGGCAAAATTATAGACTTGTCCCTGCAAAACATTCCCTTCTTGATGCAGGACAGGACTCTACTAGCTTTGCTTACCGCAACCTGGCACTGTAATCTATTATTGAGTTTATGGTCTACAATGACCCCCAAATCTTTCTCCATTTCAGAGTTCCCTAGAGGCATACCCATAATTGTATAGTTGCCCACTCCCCTATTTTATCCAGGTCCTCCTGCAATGTTACACTATCTTGGTCCGTTTCTATTACCCTCCCAATTTTGGTATCGTCAGCAAACACTGAGATATCGCTGTGTACTCCGTCCCCGATGTCGTTAATAAACAGGTTAAATAGCATGGGTCCCAGCACAGAACCCTGAGGCACACCGCTAATGACACTAGCACAGTCTGAGAGGGCGCCATTTATTGATACTCTCTGTACCCGTTCCTTTAGCCAGTTCTCTATCCATGTACACACCCTTCCATCTATGCCCATAGACCGCAGCTTGTATCCTGTTTTTGTTATCCCTTACGTTGTAATGTCAAATTAAGATGTGGAGATGGGTGGTCAATCCTTTCTCCCCCATTCCACTAGTCAGTATTACACCTGTGCTAGATGGAAGTGTGCAGTTTAGGTAATAAATAAAACAAGTTTTTCTTTGACATAGACATTGCTTTACTACGGTAGATTTATGTATCCATTGTTTTCTGTAGGTGTTAATTCTAGCTGCCAGATAAATAGAGTAATCAGCCATCCGACTCTTCCAATCAGCATCACTGCTCATGAAGATCGTCACATCAAATTTTATGATAACAATACAGGTACGTTTATTGTTTCTCTAAGTAAAGTACCAAAAAGTAATTTATGTTTAATGTTTGCATCTTATGTGAGGCCCCTTCAAGAAGGTGGACATGAATATGGTGGGAAGAAATATAAAGGATGCTACAACACCACTCTTTGATAAACTGTGACAAAGTTGTTGTTTTTTTTTCCCCTACCTTTTGGTGGTTGATCCTCTTGCATTTGAGTTGCATTTGGAATTATTTACAAAAAACAGCTGATGGTTGCAAGTGATGCAACATATATCATTCACTTTTTGATCTTTAGCTTCTGACATTTTAATGCAAGCAGCGTTGTGGAATTCAAATTTCTGCCAGTTCCGATATGCTAGCTAGCATAGGTTGCGCATTAGAGGTGGAGGAACCAAGGGGGTTCAAATGAAAGTAGAACTCTTAGGTAAATTTCTAGATGTGACTGCTGTTTTTAGGTCCTGGTATATCTCTACAAAAAAATGCATTGGACAGGTTGTATGGCGAGGTATACTAGTAGGCACTGATTAAATTAACTGAGTGTCTGTAGTAGGGATGACCAGCTATTGCTTCTCCAAGTGGCATAAATTAGATCTGTGCTTTTTTTTTTTAACATAATTAATATATTTTTTTCCATGTTCTCTAGGAAAACTGATTCATTCAATGGTTGCTCATTTAGATGCCGTAACAAGTTTAGCTGTTGATCCTAATGGATTGTACCTGATGTCTGGAAGTGAGTATAGTTGGAATTGGTTAATTTGCAATACTCATTTTATGTTACCTTTTTATATAAACTCAAAAGTTGTTTTCTTTTCTTTTGTTATTAAACTTAACTGTCTGAGATTGTCTGGATACAAAGGTGCGCTACAGTTTGCCCTACATCCAATTCAATGAACAATCCTTCATGAAAAAAAAAGCAAAAAACCTTTGCATAGGAGTTCATGAATGCAGTGATAACCTGAACGTATCCACTTTCAGCACTACCAGCTGGTAGTGGATGGCACAGTGCATACTGAACATTCAGCACATGTATAAAATAATGGCAACTGTTTTAAGTGTTCTACAGTACACATTTCCTCTGCAGCAGCCTACTGCTACTTTAGAAAATTAAAGGACGCAATGTGCATATTGATTGTTACAAATGACTTTCTGCAGGGAAAGTATATGTCATAAGACCTGGTCCTGTCATTTTTCTCTTTGTGAACGCTTTAAAACAGCATGGAATTGAGTGAGGGGTATGAAAGTAGTTTTTACATTATTTACTTGCCATGCCCAACTCGTTCAGGTTCTGATATAAGACACTTGAGGCACTAATGGAAACCCCTTGTCATATAGGCAATTACAAATGTAAGTCAAAGGGTCCCAGGAGTGGCTCAGACTGGGAAGCTAACATGGACACAAAGTTGAGTGCATTTTTCGAACTGCTGTTGCCTTTCCCAGCTGTACTGCTCAGTGTTATGGCCTCTGTCTGCAATTAGTGGAAAACATGCCTTGATAGCTAGCAAACACTAAAAATGAAAAATCAGTTTATCTTGTACTGTCTATTGCAGGATTATTTTGTCTGCCCATGAAGTTGTTGTGTTTTTATTAAAGTCTCTTACTTGTTTTACAGGTCATGACTGTTCTATACGTTTATGGAACTTGGAAAGCAAGACGTGCATACAGGAATTTACAGCTCATCGAAAGAAATCTGATGAATCAATCCACGATGTAGCATTCCACCCATCAAAATGCTACATAGCCAGTGCGGGCGCTGATGCCCTTGCCAAAGTTTTTGTATGACATCAATATTACTAGTAGCTTTTAATTTACCCAAGCAGCCATGTGAAACCAGAGACATTAAACTAATGCCAGAAGATTTGATTTAGCCGGACCGCCTTCTCTTGTGTTCAGTGATCAGAATAAGATACACAAATAATGTTTTGGGTTTAGTTTTGCTGGGTGCTGTTTTCTAATTTAATGGTTTGTTCAGGGTGCTGCGAACTCGACTGGAGCTTGGAGCCAGGATTCTGTCTTGCAAATGACCTCTGAGTTACGGTAGCAGAGTTTTATTTTTAAGAGTGCGCATTTGACCAGGCAGGCCTGGATCAAATTAGCTCCAATCTGCCAGCATGTAACGTGGTTGTGGCAACTGGAACAGATTATGGGAAAGCTGACCATTGGAATGCCAAGTAACCACATGATAGGAAATGCAGCAGGAGTACTCGCCACTCCCGTTTCCCACCAACAGCAGCTCTAGAAAGTTTTTGGGGTTTCTTTTAAACATGGACCTGCCCAATTCTAATCGCACGGCTTTCTAATTGTGAAGCAGCTAATCCAGAGAGGGAATGAGAGTTCCTATCTATTGGGCAGATAGTAACACCTCAGATCAGTGTATAAAAGTACAACAGAACATATATTTGAAGAATTTTATGACTATAGAGATTTGTGCCCTTTGAATGTACTTTTAAAAAAAATATATTAGGTTTCTTAGAGGGAAACATGCGTTGAATATATTGCCTATAATGTGCACCATCACACACATATTGATCTTCTCTTCTTTACTGTTTGCTTAGAAATTTACAATTTTGTTTTTTCAATCCTACATGGTTTTGCTGCAGGTTTGTTTTTGTTTTTGTTTTTTTGTATCAGTGTATTGCTGGTACTCAAAATTTAGTGTTTTTAGAATTGTTTTCATTCCATGAAATGGACAAAACTTGACCGTAAGGGGAAAAATGGTTGATGCTAGAAAATAAGACTTTACATGAGTTTCTGAAATCCATCCTTTGGTTACTATCAAAAATTTCCTCCCAGTTACTTCGTACCCATTATCTTATCAGACAGTAAGTTCTTATGCATGTATGAGAGGATCCAAGGGTATCTCATTCACTTTAACACCGAGAAAAGGCAGAGAATATTGGCTTACTAAATACTTTTTACAAGGTGATGATCAATGCAATGAAAAACCTAAAAAGGAAAAGTGCTAGCGTAACATTACCCTTATGGTGCAGAGTCCAAATCTCACCCTTGCCCCACAGATAGTAATTAGCTGGGCCTACTTAAAAGCAGAACTCCAAGAAAACATTTTTTATTAAAGTGTGTTGTCTACCAAATAGTTCTCTCATGATGAGTATGCCACCTCCAGGATCACTGATGTTTCATTCACATTATACTTCAGCCTGCTGCAGCTCTCATACACAGAAGCCATATTGTCTTTTATATGTCCCCCCTCCCCTTATACAAAGGCCCACAGAAGGCCTTTGTATTCTGTGCACAATTCACAGAATACAAGGCTTTCTGAGAATTGTCAAGGGAGTATATAAACAACTCTACAACTTCTGTATATGAGAACTGCAGTAGGCCAAAAGTATATGGAGAGCTATACTATCCGTCGTAAATGACTGGAGTTTAACTTTAAATGTACGAATTAGTGCAGATGTAGTCTGGAAAACATGAACAACTAGGGCCTATGCAAACAAGTGAAAAGCGGTGTTCTTGACTTGCCTTGGCTGTTGATGCAGGTGTATCAGACCCCATTCAACTCAGACTTTAATGTAGGTGCTGCACAGATCAGTACTACAGTGGATTTAAGCAGCTGGGCTGGATGATTCAGTCACAGTCCATACAGCAGTGACTTTTGCAGTGTTTGCATTTCACCCTGCATCCATTGCCAAGGTGAATGATTTGTAGCAAGAACCTGTTTTTGTAAAGATGTGGCATGGCAGCTACTTACATGGGCATTAACTGGTACCTCAGAAACATGGAAAGTCAACCAGTAGTATCAACAGGACCTAAATTAGAAACATTTTGTTTGCTAACAAAATAGATGGCTTTCACCTAATTTATCAAATAAAAAATGCTAGCACGCAGACAACCCACGAGGAACATTATGGCCATGAGCCAGTTTATAGGGGGGGGAGGCATCTCTTTCAGTATGGTTATAGTTATTTTATTTTTTTCACAAAACATTGTTGGCTAAACCAGCTGTAATATATTTATTAATGAAGTATGTTTTTTCAGCATACGGATTTGATGTGGTTTACCTTTGACATGATTTGTAAGATGGAATTTGTAAAACAAATGCCGATTGCCAAAAGCCCTAACATTTTCAGATCATTGCAGAGGTCCCCAACCTTTATCAGTTTATATACCACACTGAGATATAACAAGCCGAGGTTTAATAACCAGTTAGAGTACAACTGAAGCCAAAACCTTTGGGCTGTCATTAGAACAGGAATAGATGGTAAAATGGGGACTCAAGTTTTGGTGAGCCTGCTGACCCCCAGGGATTCCCTCTGGAGGGATTTCCTCCCACTTCCTGTTGTGGCTATTGGACAGAATGTGAAGGGAGATCTACCCAATTGGATACAGATGGCAAAACACGGACCAGTTATAACCCTTCCTTACTCTATGCAAATAAAAAAAATGTTGGCTTTAGTTCTACTTTAAGTTCCAGAGCCATTTTCACATTTTATCAAAGGCCTATTATATTTGGCAATAACTTCATGATACTGAAGTGAGGTGTAGACTTTTTTTGGGGGGGTGGGGTCTCCCCCCCAGTTTGACCAGAGATGATTATAAAAAGGTAATCATTTTATTCAATAAATTGCCCCTTTCATAAAAGACTTTAAAAATTGGTGCAGGTCATGGTAAACATATTAACAAAATAAAGGGTTTTTTTTCCCCATGAGTATTTTGTTTAACACATAAGCTACAAAAACATTTTCATAGAAACAAAAACAGTTAAGGGGAGCAGAAGAGGTTAGGTAGGACAAGTTAGCAATAAAAAAGTGGTTAGAGGCCAAACTCGCTCCTGTGGGTATCCATGTTTGATTACATTTTATAATGCACTAAGCAGGAACACCCGAGTGCTAAAATAGCAGTTCTGCTACAAAGGTCAGGACTTCAGCTTTAAAACTGACAGAAGATCCTGGCAGCTACACGTGGGTATGGACTCAGCAGGGACCAAGGTACACCCAATGTCTTCAAAGTGGACGTGTACGTAAAACCTGAAGTTTAGCTTTAACTCAGGCATTAATTAGCACAATAGAAAGGGTTAGAGCAATTCTGTTTAAAAAAATTTAGTTTGAGCATATCATTCCCGATTAAAAGCAGCAGAGCACTTCCACACGTGGGCAATACCTAGGCACTCACCATTCTTGTAACCTTACAGGAGCCTCTAATCATTGGATTGCATTGATGGCTTCATTAGGCATCCATGTCTGGGATCAGGAAGAAATGTCCATTGATTTTTTTTTGCCTCTATTATGCACTGTAAATGCTATATGCCTAAGTTCACATCCAATTTTTAGTGGTTAAATGGGCTAGAGAGCAAGTAAACCTTTTTGTCAAATCGGAATGAAGCTTTCTTGACTTGACTGCAGTAAATGTTACCAGGGTTTATTTTTTATCTTTTTTTATCATTGCTTTTTGCACAGTCTTGGTTGAATAAGCCTACTTGTAGGAAAAACAGCACTCCAGAACTTTGTTTAATATATTAACTATGATAAAGAATTAGGGATTCTCTGCTCATCCTCAAGCCTAAGGGAAGTCTGTTCCAGCCAGTGTTCAGGCTGATGAAACTTAACTGAGACTGCTTAAAGCTACAAAGAAAGGAACTGAATCACTGGTTGGGGATCACTGCTTTAGTGATAAACAAAATAATTGTGTTTCAAAAAAACTAAGATGCATTGTAAAAATTCAGTAATAATAAAAAGGTGAACTAAAGGGATATCTTAAAACATGGCAGCATATAACTTTATAAACAATTAGAAATATTGCAGCATTTTGTAATCATGCATGGTTGTGCTCATGCTTTCTTACCAAAGTTTACTTGTAATCTGCTTTCAAGTACATATTCCGAATGATACATTTCCAAGAAATAAAATGTGTTCCCCTCGGAAACATTGTTAACAAATTGCTGACTGATACATTATACAGTTATTGTCAGTTTCCCCATATATTCAGTATTGCTGGACTGATAAGTGCTGGAACACCAATCGCCATCCCAGCTGGCTGCATCATTTTAATAATTCACATGAATCCTTTTTATACTATAGAAATGGACTATAAAATCAAACACACTGATCTTTGGCTGTTGCCAAGATTTGCTCAGAACAGCTTGGGTAATTGAGAGCCTCTGTAATGTGATATTTATGTTGAAATAAATTGTTAAACATCTATAAGTATATTAACAAGTTGACCTGAAATACCACTAAATTACCCTTTTATTTTTTCTTTTTTTTTTATATCGTTTCCGGTTTGTTAAAAAGGAAAGTACAGTATGTGGCTTTTTACTTAGACGTTGAACTTGTGGATTATTTGTGTATTTTACTTTGGGTTTTTTTTTTCCTCCTCTTTTTTTACAAAGTAATTGCAAAGATTTATTTGAAAATTCTAAAAAGCTATGTATATTATATATAAATATATATATATATTGTAAACTTATATTAAATGTGTCTAGTATGGGTTGACTCTAAGGGGTTCATTTTAATCTTTTTTGTATTGAGTTCTCATGTGTACACAAAAGATGATGGTATGGGTATGAGTATTTTGCTGTTACATACTATATACATCTACAGCTGTTTCAATTTGATGTACATACATCTTAAGTTGGCATGCTTGTTTTACTGACTGTAACATTTAGTTGATTAGGATATGAATGTAAGTAAAAACTGGCTATGTGAACTCAAACCACAAAACCCACCTGTTGCTATATTGTAGTTTAATTAGAAGAGCGGATGAAGGGAATGGAAGGTGCCTTTTATTAGAAAACGCCTTAAGTGTAAGGTAAACTGCTGATGCGTTTGTGACCATCTTCCTTTAGGACTTGTGATGCACACATGCCAGGAATAAACACAGGGGGGGGAAAAAACATTCTCTAAAGACTTTAAAACTTGGACGGATAAATGTACACCTGCCCCGGGCCACCTTATTTTTAATATTGATTCATTAAAAATAAAACTTTTTTTTTTTTAGTGTGATGTATTGCCAGATTTTTGTTTGAATCCTAAAATGCACATTTCTACATCTCTAAATGTAAAACATGCAACAAGTGCTACATGTTTAATTGCACCGTTATTTTGTGAATCTGTACATAGCTAACAATACATTTGGACTGTAGAAACTTGAAAGCACTGAAGTTTTAGTTTTACTATCTGCGGTGTTGAATCAGATGGCTCACAATTTTGTTAAACATCCTTTTGAATTTCTAAGTATTGGTGATGTGAACTGAAACATAGACGAGTGCTGGGCTAACTGGCAGTGGTTTATTTTTATTTTGCAAATCAATAAAGGGAAAACACATTCAAAAATATGTATTCTAATCAATAAACCCACTTTTTATAGCATTTGTTTTGAAATGAATATATGTTGATAAAATACCAAGTAATGTTACATTTTCTTGTTGTGTAGTTTATTTACTTGCACACATCATTGTTTTCACAATTTTAAGTGAGAAGGTCCCACAATCATATTTTCTGTTAATTAAAAAAAAAAAAAATATCTTTGACTTTGATCTGCCCCCTCAATGTTCTAGGACCAGTTTATATACAGGACTGCCTCCTGTCTTTGATTTTTAGAAAAAAAAAATTCATTCCCCCCCACAGCCATAACTCTATAGTTGACAAGATAGGCTACACTCTTCCGATTGCAGCCCCTAGTGGGAAGGCTGCTGAATGCATCTTATACGCAAGGAACCCCTTCTGCTGATCTTTTTGGGATTAAAGCCTTAATATTCATAGGTGACTCCATAGGTGACTTTTTTTGTTGTCTTTAAGTCTTTATCCATTCCCCTCACTTTTTTTTTGAGCACCTGCTGTTTTTCCCCCCACATTCTGCCTCCTCCAAGTGTTGATACGAGTA